TTCTTTTAATGTAAGCCAAGATGTATAAACCAGAAAATTTGACATAAAAATCCAAATTTCCAGTTCTCTTTAAAATATTTAGACTTGAAAACCCTGGGCCCACATTCTCAGCTGTAGCTGAGTAGTTTGCTTCACTCTCCTCAGCTCACTTCCCTTGATTAGACCACCTAGTAGGCATTTGGGTTGTGATCCCTGTTCTAGGATATTTGCCCTTTAAACAATGAAAATATAGAGAACCGAACAAGAGTTATTTCAAAGCAAAGATGTTTCTCCTCAAATCTCAATGGAATTTCAAACTCACCTAATGTCTTCCCAACTGCACCAGTTTTTCTAAATTTATTGTTAACTTTCAGTCACCATTCCTAACTAAAGCCAGCAATTAAAAACTGAGGTAATAACTCATATCTAATGATCAGCTAGGGTGGCAGTGAAATCAGTAAAGAAGGCAGTTGTCCTCAAGCTGCAACATGTATTAGAATCGCCTGGAAAGTTTGTTAAAGCACAGATTTCTAGATCTGAGTTTCTGACTCAGTAGATCTAGAATGGTGTGTGAGAATATGCATTTCTAACAAGTCCAAGTGATGCAGATACTCCTGATCTGGTGACCATACTTTGAGCATCACCGAGTTCTCATGGATCAAATATATCTGTAAATGTATAGTTCAGTTCAGCTCAGTCACTCAGTCATGTCCGACTCTTTGCAACCCCATGAACCGCAGCACACTAGGCCTCCCTGTCCAAATATATAGCGGCCAAACACAATAGAAGTTTATTTCTCTTTCACAAAACAATCCAAAGCAAATTTCCTTTCATTCAGTGTTCAGGGACCCAAATTACTTTAAGCTTTTACATCTCTACTGACCACTAGGACCATCTATACAGATAGAAAGGGGGAAAATATCCAGAAACCAAAACAGTTTCTAAAAGCTTTGGCATAGAAGTGTTACATATCCCATCCACTCACATCTCATTGGTGAAAACTAATCACATGGTCATATATAGATGCATAAGATGCTGAGAAATATGGTCCCTGGCAGGACAGCCACTTCCTAATTCCACAAACTAGAAAGGAAGCCACATTTTGTTGTGGGCATCTCCACTGCAGCAGCCATAAATATGGCTTGCTCTTCCTCTGCTAACTTCCTTCCCCATTACCAGAAGGCTCTTCTCCCTTCTTGTTGTCGAGCCAAACCTCAACATCTTTCTGGTTACATTTCACTTTCACCAGAATTCTGAATTTAAAAAAATTCCAGTCTTTTATCTTGGTAAGTAAAGTAACTTTCTTCCAAAGAGCTTATTGTTTCCTTGAGGATATTTATTATCATCATTATAACTTTAAAGAACAATGTTCATTCTTCTCCAGTTAATCAAAGGAAAATATAAGCTGTTTGCATTTTGAATGTTTTTGATTAAAGACTTGAGTCAAGTATCACATCAAAGTATCTTCCCAAATAAATAGGCAAAGGAAAAATGCCATGAAAAGTGCCTAAAATAATAATGCAACATTATAACCTACCTACACTCCTTGTGGTGAATTAATTTTTCTGAAGTCATCACTAACTCCTGGGAGCTAGAGTGAGTTATAGAGGTCATCAGTGAGCTTCTAAACTCAATTAAAACCAAATAAAAATAAAACTGTGAAAATAAAATGAGGAGAGGCTCCTTTACCGTTGCAAGTAGTGCAAAACTGAGCACAGACTGACTGAACCAAAAACAGAATTTATTGTTTCATTTAAGATGAAAAGTCCAGAGGCGCACTGAGCGTCAGTCATGGCTGAACGCTGAGCTCAAGCTATATCGTCAGGACTGTTTCCCTCCATCTCTCAGCTTCATGATGAAGTGGAATGGCAGCAATGGTTGTGACTCTTTACCCTCTTAGGTGCAGCAGAGAAGATCAAGAGTTCCTCCATGAGGAAAACATCTCTGTGGCTCATTGGATCCGATTGGGCCATATGTCCACCTTGAATTTATTATAGCCAGGGGGAACTAATTGTGGGTCTCATGTATGGAATCACTTTCACATAATCCAAATTATGAGTTGGAGAAGGTGGTTCTAAATAGGGGAATTGTGGTATAGATGCTGTTGGGATTTGGAGAAGACTCAATGCCCCACACTTGGAACTAACTGAAGGTTCCAGGAGCCAGGTAGAGAGGTACAAAAATGTCACCTTTGTATCTTCATATCTTTTAACCAAGTTGGCTTGCTAACTCCTGAATTAGATGGACCTGCCGCATCATAGACATTCATTCTCCCACTGCGGACTGCTCTTGTCAGATTTATGGCATGCAGCAGCAGAGAACGCTCTCTGCAAATTGTAGGTGATGAAGAAAAATACAGAAAAGAGGGCTGAGTTTATGGAGAAGGAAATAGCAACCCACTCCAGTACCCTTGCCTAGAAAATCCCATGGACAGAGAAGCCTGGTAGGTTACAGTCCATGGGGTCGGAAAAAAAAAAGAGGGCTGAGTTTAATGTGCCTAGTCACTGCACCAAAACTCACCCATCGGGTAAGTCACTCTTCCTTCCTTGGAGCAAAGGGAGAAGGTGGGCACAGAGGGTAAAGAAGCCTGGATTATTACTCTGAAGAAGTTCCTACACACAACAACAGAGGACTGAGGAGTAATGTCTCCTCCCAATATTTAACAAGAGTGAATGAATGGTGATAGCAAAAAGAGATGTCCACTACCAAAACAAAAAAACTTATTCTTAAAAACACAGAGTGAAATATATACAACCAGATGGTTAGATTCCTAAACCTTTTTAGTTATAAGAGGATATGAATCCCACCTGCTATGGAAGCACCATAATACCCTTTAGGTGCCATTCTTCACAATTGTTGTTATCTCTTATCTGATTTGGTGTTTTTCTATAGATGAAAGATAGTCAAGTATAAAAAGTGAACTTTACGTTGATGCCCTGGGACAAAGCAGGAATAAGAAACCAGAAAAATATGGTTGAAAACTTGAGAAAGTGATTCAAACAAGATCAAGATATGAGATTCATATTAATCTGGATGTGATTCTAGAATATAAGATCCATGAAAACAGGCTCCTTGTCTGACCTGCTCACCACTGTATGTTTTCCCAGTATCTAGAATGGGGTTTCTGGTATAAAGCAGGTGCTCAATACACACTTGTGGAATGGGTGAACTGGCAAAGAGGATGATCTCAGGGGTGACTGTGTTTTGAATAGGAGGAAAACAGAATCTTGTTTGGGGTTAACGTGGCCATGAAAAAGCAGTATCAGTTTGGATCTAAGACTGTATATAACTAAATCCTACTACAATGCAAGCTAAGAATTACTGAGTTGAACTAGAACAGTGCAAGAATTATAGGAACCAAAAAATATCTGAAATAAAATGACAGAGGTCTTAGAAATAATCCTAATATATTACTTCTGACAATGGCCGCACATCTGAATCACCTGGGAACTCTAAAAATTCCAATACCCAGACCTCACTTGCAAAGATTCTGATCTAAGCATCCATAATTTTCAATATTTCTCAGATGAATCTGACATGGGGTCAGGGCTGAGGACTACTGGCCTATTACCACCCCATCGTCTTACAGAAAGAGGGTGAGCTTGAAAGGTAAAAGATTCAGAATGTACCTCGATAGCCAATGTTTAGATATACTTTAAAATCATAAATAGGAAATAAACAGTTCTTAATGTCAATCCTTGTCAATTTCTGAAATGAATAGGTCTGAATCTCTCCAAATATTACCAGAACCAACCATTTTTGTATGTAGAAAAGGACCATTCCAGCCCAGTTCTTGTCCTAGAAGCCACGGGAAGGCATTGACAAGTTTTTCAAGAGTGCATGTCATGATGAAAAGGTGGTTTCCAGAGACAGATCCGGCTAGGGTGGAAGGATGGATTAGAAGGACCAGATATAAAGACCGGGAAGTCATGCAGTTACCCAGGAATGAGCGAGGCCTTGGTCATCTAACATGAGACGGAGACTGTGAACATGAGCAATGCTATGAAAAGCTATGAACAGGGCTACAAGACTGATAGCCTAGGAAAATACAGGGTGAAAGTGAAGTGAAAGAGCTAGTTGCTCAGTAGTGTCTGACTATTTGCAACAACCCCATGGACTATATAGCCCACCAGGCTCCTCTGTCCATGGAATTCTCCAGGGAAGAATACTGGAGTGGGTAACCATTCCCTCCTCCAGGAGATCTTCCCCACCCAGGGATCACATCCATGTCTCCTGCATTGCAGGCAGATCCTTTACCATCTAAGCCACCAGGGAAGCCCAAATACAGGGTGAACCAGAGCCCAAAGCAACTACAGGTCCAAGACGTTGACTTAATCCAGCTTTGCATCCTAAATGGCTGCCTCACCAGTAACTCCCAAAAGCCCCTTTGAAGGAGGGGAAAGAAGGGAATAAGCCCCGGTGGGGCCCAAACCTACTTCATTTTGTCTGCCCAGGGTGCCATGCAGTTTTGTGAACAGGAACAAGCAGAGAGAAGGGACAATGATGGTTATCTCAAGAGAAGCCACTTCCTGGTCACTTGTGTCCAGACCACTGGGGCCCTCAGGGAGAGAGGTTTGGTGGACCTTGACCTGATTTATCACCATGTTTAAAAAATTAAGCACGCTAGCTGAGTTAACCTATCCACCTCAGACAAGACTCCCTCAAAAAGTATTTTGCAAACCATCACCCAACCAGTGAAAATTTTGTTTTCAAAATTTCTCTTCTGGGATCTGACTGTCCCTCCCACCTCTGAGGGGCTGTGGAGTGTGCTGCCTGTATGTACAGACGTGCCTACCTAGCACCTTCCTTTTACAGAGGCTGAAATCGCTCCAATAGGAAATGATGGCTTTGTGGAGGAACTTGTGTTAAGTATTCGTTCCCACAGCACAGGAGGGGTGGGGGTCCAAGCAGTTAGCCCCAAGCCGGCGCTGGTAGGGCTGGGTCCTGACAGGAAGCGATGCAATTCCCAGCAGCCCTCCCGGGGCCCAGAGGTTACCGGGGCCCCCTTAAAGCCTCCGGTAATGGGGCTTTCGGAACTTCCCCTGAGGAGAGCCTGCCCACGGCTAATAGACACCACTGTCGGGAAGGCTTTTATGCTGCGCCGCTTACTTTTTCCGTTCCGCAGTTTCAGCTCGTTGCTCCTAATTACCTCCCCTCGGACCGCCCGGCTGGCGTAGGGGATCAGAGCCTGGCCTGCCTCAGCACCTCTCGGCCCGAAAGGTTCTTCCTTCAGAATGGCCCACTTAAAATGCAGCCCCCTCGCAACCGCGCTCCAACTCAGTGACAGGCCTCAGGAGGTGGCCGGCTTTCCCGTGACCCTCTGCCTTGCCTTAAACCTGGGAGCCCGCGCAGGCGAGAATACACCATCGTCTCCTCCCTCCTTTTCTGCCCACCTGGGCTTCCTCACCTCGTCGGTTCCTACAGCAGCTGAGGCCCGGCTGACGGGGGTAGAGCTCTCCTACCTCCACCCAGGAGCCCCAGCATGAAGTATTCTCTCTTCTACAAGAAAGGTCTGCGGGCTGTGCCCTGCAATGAACGCGGACTTGATGTAGGCTGACGCAGGCTGCAAGCCAGGGGGGTTCTCATTCAACCCCCTCACCCCTCCCGTGCCTTTTAACTAACTCTGAAATTCCTCACCCCGCTGCAGGTGCCTCCACGCTGTTTCCAAGGAGTAGAGCTCGACATAGATTTATCTGGTAACCATTGCAGGAATTTCAAAAAATGAGAACCAGAGGAAGAAGCCAGACCTGAGGTAATTAAGAGGATTTGTTTCACATGATTCAGGTGAGCACAAAGGGGTTCCTGAACACAGAGAATAGAAGATCAAAGAGATGACAATCTGAAGGTGGCAGCCCAGCCCCCACTGCCAAATGAAAACCCCTCTCCCGTGTTTTTAGCTTCTGCCAGAGATCAGACAGGAAGATCATTTTTTAAAAAACGCTTGCTTTCAATAGTTGGCTTCCAGAAGAAAAAATTCAAATGCACATGCCATATTTACAAGGTCACAGATCTCCCCACCTGAGATCATTTATCTGTGGAAAGCAGCCCACTATTCAAGCCCCAGGAATCCCACCGCAAGAATGAATGTTCCTTAGAAAGCACCAGGCCTTCGCAGGCTTGTTGGCGGCTCTGGAAAATCTTCTCCAGTGCTGGGATCTCCTCCTTCCCACGGCACCCAGCCAGCCATGGGAAGTGAAGAGGGTGGTCAAGCAAGAGAGGAGCAGAGCCCACAGGGGTGCATGTGAGCTCTTAAAAAAATTAACTGAGGCATGTGGAATATTCGATCTTCTTTAAGGCATGAGGAATCTAGTTCCTCAACCAAGGATCGAACCTGGGCCCCTCTGCACTGGGAGTGCAGAGTCTTAGCCACTGGACCAGGGAAGTCCTTGAGGGAGCACCTTTTAAACCCACAGCAGAATAAGCAAGGTGAAAAGACAGCCCTCAGATTGGGAGAAAATAACAGCAAACGAAGCAACAGACAAAGGATTCATCTCAAAAACAAGCAACTCCTCCAGCTCAACTCCAGAAAAATAAATGACCCAATCAAAAAATGGGCCAAAGAGCTAAACAGACATTTCTTCAAGGAAGACATACAGATGGCTAAAAGACACATGAAAAGATGCTCAACATCACTCATTATCAGAGAAATGCAAATCAAAACCACAATGAGGTGCCATTACACGCCAGTCAGGATGGCTGCTATCCAAAAGCCTACAAGCAATAAATGCTAGAGAGGGTGTGGAGAAAAGGGAACCCTCTTACACTGTTGGTGGGAATGCAAACTAGTACAGCTGCTATGGAAAACAGTGTGGAGATTTCTTAAAAAACTGGAAATAGAACTGCCATATGACCCAGCAATCCCACTTCTGGGCATACACACTGAGGAAGCCAGATCTGAAAGAGACACGTGCACCCCAATGTTCATCGCAGCACTGTTTATAATAGCCAGGACATGGAAGCAACCTAGATACCCATCAGCAGACGAATGGATAAGGAAGCTGTGGTACATATACACCATGGAATATTACTCAGCCATTAAAAAGAATTCATTTGAATCAGTTCTAATGAGATGGATGCAACGGGAGCCCATTATACAGAGTGAAGTAAGCCAGAAAGATAAAGACCAATACAGTATACTAACACATATATATGGAATTTAGAAAGATGGTAACGATAACCCTATAAGCAAAACAGAAAAAGAGACACAGATGTATAGAACAGACTTTTGGACTCTGTGGGAGAAGGCAAGGGTGGGATGTTTCAAGAGAACAGCATCGAAACATGTATATTATCTAGGGTGAAACAGATCACCAGCCCAGGTTGGGTGCATGAGACAAGTGCTCGGGCCTGGTGCACTGGGAAGACCCAGAGGAATCGGGTGGAGAGGGAGGTGGGAGGGGGGATCGGGATGGGGAATACATGTAAATCCATGGCTAATTCATGTCAATGTATGACAAAAACCACTACAATATTGTAAAGTAATTAGCCTCCAACTAATAAAAATAAATGAAAAAAAAGAAAAGAAAAGAAAAATGCCAAGTTTGGACCAAAAGAAAAAACTGGACAATAGAATCAATTTGTATGGAAGATTCTGATATGGTTGTTGAAAAAAATAAATAAATAAAAAATAAACCCATAGCATAGTATTTGGCCATGTCTTTCTCCTTTGCCGTGATATTGATCATCAACAATAAAATATTATGTTCTTTTCCAACACTTGGATATCTCAGACCTTCTGATCTTTTGCCATAACAAATAGATTCCTCTATCTTCCCACTTAACTAGCCTGATGGCCTCCAGCTGACCTGAAGCAGCCCACCCCTCCTCCTAGCTCATATTTTGTCCAGAGTCCCTCACAGGCCCTGGGAAGTTACGCTTGTGAAACAGACCTAGAATTGGAACCCCGGGCTCTGGCAGAATGAAAACAGAAGCCTTTTTCATCTTTGTGGTTATTGTTTCTCATCTCTTTTCCATCAGGTGACTTCAAGATTCCTTCCACTCCTGAAATAAAATTCTTACCTCCTGTAGAGATGACTTTAAATACGTGATACAGAGTGTTATATGGGGTGAACACTAAGCTTAGTATTTAGTACCCCTATGAGTACCATTCTGATAATTGATTTTACAATGGAGAAACTAAAGACAGGGAGTTTAAACACTTGCACCCAGTCACAGAATTAGCAAGTGGAGGATAAGGGTTTTCTACTGCCTCTGTGAATAAGTACCTGAATTCCTTCAATACCTTAAGACTGCACTTATCAGAAGCTTCCGAACTGTGATGGAGACTCAACTGACTGAGCAGTGGGACACCCAGGTGAGCTTTTGACAGAATTGATTGAAATTGAATGAGTGTTCCTTTGCCTGGGAGGCTTCCTGGTGCTTTGAATAGGGCTTTTTCACAGGAAGCTTGCTGCCTGCTTGCTCCAGGCCCACCGGGGGCCTGCACACCATTGGTCAAACACCGTTGGAGGTATTGACCAGGCTTGTGGAAATAAGCAAAGTCACTTGTTCAGCAGTACCTCACCTGTAATGCACAGTCTTTTCCCCTTGTTCTATGCGGAAGGTCCTTAACATTCCTTCTCTGTTCAACCATCTCAGAAATGTAAGAGTCCCCAGTCATTCTGCCATAATCCAGAAGAGCCCTCCAGAGCCCTCACTGATGTCTCAGCTCCAAGGGGCAGGGATGTCTTGGGACTTTCTTCCCTGAGCTAGACTGAAACGGAGTTGTTCCCCATGATAGAAGGAGATGGCACCGACAACATGGCCATTTCTGTGTTGTACCAATGCTTCTCAGGCTTCTACAAACATACAAATCACTGGGGAGCTTGTTAAAATGCGGATCCTCTTGCAGCAGGTCTGGGGGCCTGTTGTTGAGTCACTAAGTCGTGTCTGACTCTTTGCAACCTGATGGACTGTAGCCCTCCAGGCTCCTCTGTCCATGGGATTCTCCAGGCAATAATACCGGAGTGGGTTGCCATTTCCTTCTCCGGGGATATTCCCAACCCAGGGATCGAACCTGGGTCTCCTGAACTCGCAGGCAGATTCTTTACCAGTGAGACACCAGGGAAGCCCAGAGGGCCTGAAGTGCTGCATTTCTGACAAGCCTGCAGGGGCTGCCCTGCTGCTGGTCCCGAGCCTATGGGTGACCAGAATTATTTATGCTTAGCTCTCCTCCAGTGTGAAGCCCTCACTGATGCATTTTGACAAAGAAGTTCCATAGAGACAAGAAGCCACAGCTTCACCTTACCTCTCTGAGTAGGGAGGAGGGATGTCCTTGGAAGCGAAGACTGTTGTCCACGTCAGTCTCCTTGAATGAGCCCTTCAGACCATCCAAAGAGGAAATTCCTCACCCTCTGCTGGATGGGGGCAGAGTTCCGAAGAGCAGCAAGGAGAGAGAAGAAAGCCTTCCTCAACGATCAGTGCAAAGAAATAGAGAAAAACAACAGAATGGGAAAGACTAGAGATCTCTTCAAGAAAATTAGAGATACCAAGGGAACATTTCATGCAAAGATGGGCTCAATAAAGGATAGAAATGGTAGGGACCTGACAGAAGCAGAAGATATTAGGAAGAGGTGGCAAGAATACACCGAAGAACTGTACAAAACAGATCTTCATGACCCAGATAATCACGATGGTGTGATCGCTCACCTAGAGCCAGACATCCTGGAATGTGAAGTCAAGTGGGCCTTAGGAAGCATCACTATGAACAAAGCTAGTAGAGGAGATGGAATTCCAGTTGAGCTATTTCAAATCCTGAAAGATGATGCTGTGAAAGTGCTGCACTCACCATGCCAGCAAATTTGGAAAACTCAGCAGTGGCCACAGGACTGGAAAAGGGCAGTTTTCATTCCAATCCCAAAGAATGCTCAAACTACCGCACAATTGCACTCATCTCACACACTAGTAAGTTAATGCTCAAAATTCTCCAAGCCAGGCTTCAGCAATACATGAACTGTGAACTTGCAGATGTTCAAGCTGGTTTTAGAAAAGGCAGAGGAACCAGAGATGAAATTCCCAACAGTGGCTGGATCATTGAAAAAGCAAGAGAGTTCCAGAAAAATATCTATTTCTGCTTTATTGACTATGCCAAAGCCTTTGACTGTGTGGATCACAATAAACTGTGGAAATTTGCCTCAAGACAGTGAAATTCCTCACCATCTGCAAACTGAGGCC